GGTGTATTAGAAAAGAGACGAGATAAACTTAATCCGCATTTCACATTTCGTATTAAGGACTGTGAAGGAATAAAATTAAGCGGGATGTTTTAATTGACGGATGATGGGCCAGCAGCCCAACTGGTTATGCTCTCAAGCATGGCGCTATTGTTGCTGGGGACGGGGGTTCGATGTCCACCAGCCTCATTTTTTTGTCCCTTTTTCTATTTCAGAGAAAGGCGAGGGGCAATTTCGTAATTGCTCAGAAACGCGGTGGCAAGGCCACGTAATTACGACGTAACCCTAGGGGTAATTTGGTCGTTTCCGGATGAGTATAAATTCATCTTAAAGAAGGAAAGAACGCTATTCTGCTACTGTCTTACCTAAACCGAACGGCGGCCTTCACTCTCTCCCTCTCTCGATTTTCTGCTTCTTTCTCGTTCCATTCACCGGAAAACGGCGACGAAACTCTCTTCCTTCTCGCTCCTCCAGCCGGCGAAACGACCCGAAGACAACCCCCTTCTCTCTCTCTCTCTCTCTCTCGTTCTGCCTTCTTCTTTCTCACTCGCCATTCACTGCCTCTCCGTGTCGGCGACGGGCACGGCGGCGGAACCTCGTCGGCGACGGGCACGGCGGCGGAACCTCGTCGGCGACGACCGATCGAGGTAGGGTCATCTTGCATGTCGGCTTCTTAGCTATTTTTTGTTTTAATTATGATTCTGATATGGATTTGTGTTTATTCTGGAGTTTATGAGGTTTGTTTACTTCTTTATTCATGCGATTTCTGCTATTTTCGTATCCGATGTTAGGGGTTTTTTTCGAAATTCTGACCCCTATTTCTTGTGTTTTATTTCCAGAAAAACCAACCCAGAGCCGAGATGGGTTCTCAATCTGCCTTTCTGGTTGGGACCGCGACGATGGTGAGAAGATCTTACCCCCTGGTAAGCCCTCTCTTTAATACGCATGTTTATTTTTATTGATTACCCTTTCGATTGGGATCTTACCCCATTTGTTTATTTTTTGTTTTTGTTCCGGTCTCCACCGAAAAGAGAAATGGGAGCTGCCGGCGACGCAGCCTGCACACAACCGGCGGCAGAGTTTTGGTTTCGGTATCCTTTTTTATTTATTTTTGTTGTTACAGGTTTTGATCTGGGACTTGTTTATTTGATTGAAAAAGCTAAAAGAAGCTAAACTAATGATCGCTGCTACTGCCTGCGATCTATAACAGAATCAAACTTTCTCTCTTGCTATTTGATTGTTTGATTTGGGATTTTTGGGTAATGAACCAAAGTAGCTACTTTCGCTTCTATAAATCTCTGCCACTGTTTGCCATTTTTATCGGACTAGGATTTGCTATTTTTTATTGAATTTCTGCATTAATTTCGTTTATTGGTCTTTACTTGGTAGTTTGAGGTAGTCTCTCTATTTCGCCTATGGTATACTGAACAGCTAGTGGCTTTTGTTAAGTTTCCAATTGAAAAGATCTTACAATAACCTAGTCATAGACACTACTATGATTACATAGGGACTATAGGTCTTAATTGAACTTGTCATAACTGGTTTCATATAATGTTTTGTTTACTTTGGGCAGAAACATGTATTCAAAAGTATAGTGAAGTCAGATCTAGCACATAGATAAATCAGATCTAACACAAGTAAATGTCGTTAAATGGGCATAAATATGTCGGATCTGACTTTCTTATCTACAAGCAACAAACTGGTTTGGTTTTGTTGATTTTTAGATTAGCAAATTCGTAGCAAGATTTAGAGTTTCGAGTGAAAGCCATAGGAAACTAGTTGCCTCAGTTAGCTTCAATCATTCATATACATATAGCTCTATCATGGAAAAATGGCTTCAATCATCTACTTACATACAGTTCTAGCATAAAAGCATGTCTATTCTTGTTTTTCTACTATGTTTTTAGATATATTGGGCTGAATGATTATGTAAATATGGGTGACATATACTTGTAACTTTGGTTTTGGTTGAAGAAATACCAACCTGGTATGGCCTCTTAGTGGTTGGTGTTTGATGAAATCTGATTTGTTGTTGCCTCTTTGTTGTTTGTGCCTTTGTTCTTGAAGTTCCCTTCTGAATCTCTTCTTTTCTTCAATATCGTGTTTGCTGCCTTTGCTTTCTCTCCTTGTATCGATCAGCTTCCCTTCTCCTATCAAATTTGCTGTTTTTTTTTTATCGTGATATTTTCCCCCTTTTTTTTGGATTTCCAGCCAGAAGTCCCCCTCTGTTTTTTTAGCCGACCTCCACTTTTATATCTGGTTTTTTTACTATTCATTTGGGTGTGTTGTCAATTGTTTGTTTGGTTTGCAGAAGAGCTGGCCATTTTCCTCCCTTCAAGAAAAGGCAGTAATCATTGCTGGCCTTTTGGATGAGATCAGGCTTCAAGAAGTCGGTTGATCCAAGTTGACTGAAGTTGACCCATTGACTTTGTTTGACTGGGCTGGTTGACTTGTGGACTGGGCCGAAAATTACGGACCTGGATTGGGTTTATGGTTTGAGAATTGGGCTGCTGGTGTGGATTTGTTTTTGATAGTTTTTTTTTGTTTTTAATGTATAATTACTAAGTGTATAAATTGTAATTTGTAGTTACACATTTATTTATGTTATTGCCTTCAGAATTAGATGATCATTGTATGAATTGCTCAAACATTCAATTGATTCTTCCAACCCAATTCGTTTGCTTTTAAATCGTATCCAAATTTCTAATCAACGTTTCCCAAACCATGGATTACTACCATTCCTCCATTTGACCACCTTTGGACCAATGTGACCAACTGTAAACTGAGTACAATGATATTAGTATAGGTTGTGACAACACTATTGTTATTCTAAATAAAGCGAAAGCGAATTTGGTAACCATTAGCTACTATTGTTATTCTAAATAAAGCGAAAGCGAATTTGGTAACCATTAGCTACTGCTAATCCTAACTAGTACAAATGTTCAAACTAAATAAAAAGAGGACTTGGAAATCGTTGGTACTTATTGATTCGCCATCGCTGATCTCAACCAACCTCGTCCAAATTTCACTTGAGTTTTCTTTTTAAGTTGGATATTCTTTTGAGTTTTGAGTAGGATGGTTGCTCCGGACAAAATGTGGTGTCTACAGAGGGAAAGAACACGAAGTTTGAGCTGGTGGATGGAGTGTTGATGTTTCGAGGAAGGCCTTGCGTACCGGATGTCGACAAGTTGAGGGAGGATATACTGGATTAGGCTCATTCTGCTCCCTATGCGATGCATCCCGGGGCAACCAAGATGTATCGCACCCTCAAGGAGCATTATTGGTGACCCGGTATGAAGAAGGGGGTCGCGGTTCACGTTTACCAATGCTTGGAGTGCCAGATGATTAAAGCTGAGCATCAAGCCCCAATCATCGAACACTTACCATTGGAGATTCCGCAATGGACATGGGAGAAGGTCACTATGGACTTTGTATATGGTTTGCCGAGGACCCCGAGGGGGAATGACGGTGTCTATGTGATTGTTGATCGCTTCTCGAAGGTGGCCCATTTTATACCCATCAGGTTCAAGCCCGGAATGGAGGAATTGGCGAGGTTGTATGTGAGGGAGATTGTAAGACTGCATGGGGTGCCACTTAGTATCGTTTCTGATCATGATCTGAGGTTCACGTCGCGATTCTGGGTTAGTCTGCAGAAGGCTATGGGTACAAAGGTGCATTTCTCTACTGCATACCATTCTCAAACCGATGGGCAATCCGAGCGGACGATACAGACACTGGAGGAACTTTTGAGGGCTTCTGTTATGACCATGGAGGGAGCTTGGGATGAACATTTACCTCTGCTAGAGTTCGCTTATAATAACCAGTATCACAGTTCGATACAAGCAGCTCCATATGAGGTTCTGTATGGGAGGAAGTGTCATACTCCGTTGTATTGGGATGCTGAAGGAGTGAGGCAATTAGAGGGCCCGAGATGATGCAAAAGGTCATGGAGAAGATTGAATTAATTCATAAGAATTTGAAGACGGCTCAAGACCGACAGAATCGTAACCTCGAGAGGCCTGGAGTTCCTCGCCAACATCAGATGGGAGATAGAGTTTTTCTTAGGGTGTCCCCTTGGAAAGGAGTGATGCGGTTTGGAAAAAAGGGGAAGCTCAGCCCTAGGTACATTGGACCATACGAGGATCCATGATGTTTTTCATGTCAGCATGCTAAGGGCGTATCGATCCAACCCTGAGCACGTGATCAGGCATGAAGATATCCAGTTGGAGGACGATTTGACATATGAGGAGGTCCCAGCCCAGATCGTGGATAGGCAGGTAAAGGAGTTGAGGAAGAAGATTTTCATGGTGAAGGTGATATGGAGGAACCAGGGCAGCGAGGCTGCAACATGGGAGACAGAGAGTAGCATGAGAGAGAGGTATCAAGAGTTGTTTAACGATGCTTAGAACAGCAGTTGGTGGATGCCTTTGTACTTTCACGTTTGGCCCTCGTTTCTCGATATTTCAATAATAGATCCAGTAGTTCAGTCATGTTCCATTATAGCTAACACTACGTTTAGACTACAATTTCGAGGTCGAAATTTCTAAAGGGGGAGGGAAATGGTATATCCCAGCTAGAGCAATTCCTTCAGATACAACGTTACATCGTATAAGTAATTATGCTATAGTTCAAATTTCGGGGACGGAATTTTTGTAAGGGTGGAGGAAATGTTACACCCCAACATTTAGGACTAGATTCGACCGTACGATTCAATTGACGGTTACGTACGAAGGGTTCAACCATAGATTAGATATAATAATAATAATAATAATAATAACTTTTATTATTATTATCATCACCATAAACACTATCACCCGCTCATTTCCCTCCATCAACAACAACACATTTTTGTTATTATAATAATCATCATCAACTACTCACGTTTATGGATCAAGAAAAAAAATACATATAATAAAAACCCATCATTCTTCATTTCGTTACGTTACCAGTTCGCCATTTATTCCCCACCTCTCACCAAATCGTTGTTCCGTTACCATCATTCTTCATTTCTTTTTATTTCCCACGTAATAGAGAGCAGCGCTAGTCCACTCCTCGTCATCAACATCTACCTCCTCTTTCCTGGACCGAAGCTCGACTTCCCTAATCATCGAGAGCGGACCACCGCAGCGGGAGCAGCTGGCGGCATCGCGACCTTCTTCCTCGCGGAACGCCGGCGACGGGAACGCAGAGTGGGTCGTCACAGAGACGCTCAACGACAGCATCTTCTCTTGACATTAATGGGTAAGTTTCTCCGTCTCATCGATCCTTAGGCTCGTTTTAGGACTCGACTAACCCGGCGAACCTTGTAATGATCGTAGCTCCAACGGCAACCCCGGCGTACTCGACCTCAATAAAGCCTCAAAAACTTGGTACCATCTTATAGTGTGCTACCTCAGGAAAACCCCGGTTTTGACGAAATCGAATTTCGACGTCGGACGAGGAAGATACGAGCCTCTAAAGCTTGAGACGTGAATCGGATAGTTCTGGTACCATTACTGTCTGTTCAAAAAGTATAAGGACCAATAGGGTAATTTCGTTTCAGTCTGTGAGAAAATGTCCATGTTAGTTCCCTATATTTCCAGTACGAGCAGCTTAGTGCCCGGAGTTTTAAACTTTTTATATTCGATCGAAAATGGGGTTTTCTCTAGATTATTATTATTTTTGTTGCTGTATAATGGGTATTTTCGTTGTAGGATAATTTTATAAATAAGAACAAATCAATAGGGTGTTTGGATATTAATTCTAGGATTTTTGGAGCTGTTATTCTAATTATAAAAATTGATGGGAAGACTATTTTAGTTAAATAAAATAGTATACGAATGTTTTTGCTGGTTTTGATAATTTTATTCCAAGACATAGGCTGTTATGTTTTTCCAGGAATTGTTGGGTGATTTTTCGAGTTGATTTCATAATTACAAAATTTTATGTGATATTCGTTTTAATTAATTTAATTATTGTATGTATATATATTATATGACTTTGTTAATTTTGTGCAAGATTAGAATATTTAATATGTGTAGGGGAATAAAGAACCGGAAATTTAGACATTGGTAGTATAGGTTTAAGAATTATTTATTAAATAAGGAGGGGTAATTAAGGTATAAATTATAGTTAATGATTTTGGTTTATGTTTTAAGTTATTAGAAGTCAGAATTTTTAGTTTGAGGGGTCAGGGATTTTTTGGAAAGTTCACGAGAATTTTTATGAGATTTATGCAAAGATTATTTACTTAGTTAGGATGAGTTAAGGCCTTTTTTTAAAGAATTATGGGACTAAACGAGGAGAACGGAAAATTTTGCGGAATAGCGACTAAGGGAATTTAATCTCAATTTATAGGATCAAGGAGGCGATAAAATTAAGGGACCCCACGTCGAAGGAAGTAAAGTATCGGCACTTGAGAGGTGAGTGTAAAGGGGGTAAAATCTCCGTCGAGGTCTTTTAGTTTATGTCGTTATTTTCAGGTTATGTTAGTTAATTTTTGACTTTGAGCCATTATGTGTGTGAGGCATCCCACCGCCTACTTAAGGTGGAGGCACGCGTTGTGCTAAGTATGTGATGTATGGTTGTTGGTAAGTTGAACCCCTAGGCGGTTGGGCCACTACTGGACGCGGTAGATGGTCGGGTCACTACAGGACGGCGATACGTAACGCAGTAGTTGACCGGGCATGGACTGGACGGCGATACGTAACGCAGTACCATTGCCTTGAGGATAGGGACACCGGACGGCGATACGTAACGCGGTGAACCCTAATAATAAGAATATAAATTAAGATAGAAGTACAGAACTTCTATAAGCTATCAGGGACTAAAATATTAAGGATGAAAGCGAGAACGGCTTTCATGTAAGAGGAAGTTAGTTTCTAATAATGTGTTAGTAGGGTTTGCTTAGGCAAAGACCTTAGAAAGTAACGACGAGACTGACCCCTTCTCACTCACCAGGTGGAAAGGGGAAGAGGGCATAACCAGTACCAGGAGATTAATCAAGGAGGTCAGCCGCGTCAAGCTTGAAGATGTCGGAAGGATCACGGTATTGAGATGGGACCCTTTTTATCATATTTGTCATTATTTCTTGTCCATGAGTATACTGGGAAACTCAGGTTTTCTGTTCAAGTGTTTGGATTGAGATTTGCCCAACTGTTTAGGGCTTTTTCGTTGAGATTTTTGGTTATGGTCGTTGGTTGATTTTTGGTTTGACTTAAAACATGGTTTGGGTTGCTCCGGAGTAACCTGTTTTTGTTTTAAAATTTTGGTTGATTTGTCCAAAAAGAACGGGTTGTTTCAAAAGGTAACCCTAACTTATCTACCACTTAATTCGACCCATTCTCGTCCTAAATATCTATAAATACGAATATATGTCACCTTCACCGCAACCGAAACTCTGAATTAGGTTTTTATTTATTTATTATGGTTAGAGATTTTATGAAGAAGATCCTTTGTGGTTGCTGTTGTACGTGTTTAAGAGGTCGACCACGTCGAAGGTGATGTCGATCTAATGTAGCTATCGCCGTCATCTTGTCTAATGCGTAATTTTCACTGTTTAATTTGATGTTTTGTTGCGTGCAGAATAACATTCGGTCGACCCTTATCTCAATCAAGTCGACCTTTGTTTGACAATTGCTCGAAATTGAATTTCGGGCACAACACTCGGACTTCTGTATTTGCAATGTAAGGAAGATCAAACCCAATAGGTCGACCTAATGTTTTTCAAGGTCGCCATTTCTGTTTGTTTTGGTTGTTCATCCTAAATGTCGACTTTGGCTTTGTTTGTAAGACTATGTTGTGGTTAAAAGGCCGGCCGATCAATGTGTCTGGTCGACCTATCCATTTTTCGTGGTAATATTACACTGTTTTTGTTGATAAATTGGTATTTTCCTGCTGGATAGGTTGACCTAGGAAGAGCAAAGGTCGACCTATGATGTTCTGGTAGTTACAAATTGTCTTTAAGGTCGACCTAATAATAGGTCAGGTTGACCACGTCTCTGTTTTTGGTCAATTGTACAAATTGAAGTTGAATTATGATTTTAATTTTTCTTTAAATTTTTTAGACGATGGTGCATGATGAGAAACAATAACACGATTTGGGTGAAATCATGAAAGTGTTGAAAGCCACACAAGAGCATGGTGGTGTGTAAAAAAGAATTCAATGACTATCAGAATTCCATTCGTGATACAGTGGAGCAATTGTCAGTTCGATTGACAGATATGACTGGGATGTTGCATGATGGTTTCAAGAGGCTAGAAGGTGCTATCAAAGAGATACGTGCAAAACAAATGGAGAATGGAGGAAGATATGGTACAAGAAAGAAATTTGACTTTGAGGAAGAGGAGGAAGACCATGATGACTCTGCAAATTGCTACCAGAGCATAGGCGATTTATTGAAAGAGCACAAGTTAAAGGTAGGCAAGTATATTCATATTTGAGTGAAGTTATTAGTATTACTATCACTAGTGCTAATTTGTTTTGTTTATATGATTGACAGAGTGAAACAACGTTGACAACAAGGGTTCCTCTCCTAAGTACAAGAAACCTCGATATGAAAGTGACTCCTACACCCCTCCACAAAAGGATCATTTAGTAAGAAAAAGATTATTTAATGCTGATAGCGATGTAGATGTCCTTTCTAAAAGGATCATTTAGTAAGAAAAGGATCATTTACAAGAGTCCTTTCGAAAAGCACGAAGTAAGTTTACGTTACATATTCATCTATAATGTGTGTTTGTTTTCATATGTAACTTTAATTTTAACTATGATATGAAGGTCATGAAAGTGGAGGGCCTAGAAGGATTCACAAAAAATCAGCAAAATCCATTTGAAGACGTGTTTTATGTTGTTACTAAAGAGAAGGTTGGAGACACGAATTGGGACAAGTAAAAGACTTTTTTATAAAGTTGTACATGTGGTCGACCGTTTAGTTTAGCCAACGAGGCCGACCACGTATTCGTAAATAGGTCGATCAATACTATGCAAATCACAATTGACATTTCTGTTATTTTGGTTTTTTCAGTTTGACTGTTAATGACTTTTTTACCGAAAACGTGCAACGACAATATTTGAGTTCACTCATTAGCGAGAGTAGCTGGATTTGCTCATCCGTAAGTAGTATACTGCTAAGACTTTCCTATGAATTGTGCACTATTTATGTTACGATTTACGATGCTTTTATGGTTGATTGTTGGTTGGTAGTTAGTGGATTTGTGTGCAAGGACACTAACAATGTCTAAAAAATATGTGAATAAAGAGCCAAATGTGTAGTATTTGCCAAATATGTTTTCGGTAAGAGCCATAATTTTTATTTATTTTTCATAACCTAGTTATTAATATTGTACCATGTCAATTAATCTCAATAAAAATACGGTGCAGAACATGGTACGCGCTAACATGAAGACCGAACAAATTCGTAACAAGTTGATGGATAATGGCGTGGTGTTTAAGCCAAATGTTAGTGCATGCCAGAATATAAGTCATTGTCCCTATCTCATTAAGCTTCCAAAGTGCATTTGTTTGTATTCGCTTTTTATAACATATAGTGAGTTTTTCGTTGCTAGATATTTATGTTAGTTCTGGATGATGAAGCACGTCATTGGTTTTTTGCTACGAGAAAAAACAGTTTCAGCTACCATTTTCTTGGCAACCATAGAAAAATGGTTGCTTGTAAACAGTGTTCGACAACCATCCTCGAAATAGTTGCTGATACCCTACTCTAGTGCAGCCATTAGTAAAATAATCGCTGATAGGTCATAACTTCAGCAACCATTCGTAAAATGGTTGTTGATACCCTACTCTAGTGCAACCATTAGTAAAATAGTCGCTGATAGGTCAAAACTTCAGCATCCATTGGTAAAATAGTTGGCGATACGCTACTCTAGTGCAACCATTAACAAAATAGTCGTTGATAGGTTAAACCTTTCAGCAACCATTCATAAAATGGTTGGCGATATGCTACTCTAGTGCAACCATTAATAAAATAGTCGCTGATAGGTCAAACCTTCAACAACTATTCTTAAAATGGTTGGCGATACGCTGCTCTAGTTTGACCATTAATAAAATAGTCATTGCTAGGTTAAAACTTTAGCAACCTTTCGTAAAATGGTTGGCAATATGCTAGTCTCAAGAAACTATGAGATGAATGGTTGATGCTAAACAATACTTCATCAATCATTCACTAAATAGTAGTTGATACCCAACTTTATTGCAACCATTATTTAAACATTTCATCAAAAC